ATGGTCGGCGCGCGCGTTCCAGAGACGAATGAAGATGAAGCGCTCTGAGTCAGCAAGCACGAAGGAGAGAGAGGAGGAGAGAAAGCGACGATTGATGACTGTGACGGATGGGGTCGGAGGGTTGATGACTACAGCAGGTCGCGGGGTGTTGATTATAAAGACAAAAAAGAACGCGATGGCGATGGGGACCCGTCAAAGGGCGCCCCGCCCGACGACTGTCCCTTCTGGCGCAGGACAGAGCTAGTGCGTTGCGGGTTTTTGATGAGGCGTGCCACCCGACCAATGGGCGTGCCTGGTGACTGATACCGATCCGGCAGTTCCTCGGTTCCGGTTTTAGGTAACGGCAATGACGCTGCGCTGCTGCTGCTGCTCTTGCTCTGGTGCTCTGGCTCTGGTGCTCTGGCTCTGGTGCTCTGTGTCGCATTGAGAAAAAGCCCAGGAATGTGAAGGGTGGCTGGTCTGCGCATGAGATGGCGTCTTCGTCTTTGTCAGACGCCCAGGCCATCGTATTGGCTACCTACGAGCGGGTCGTGTCATGTCAAGTACTGATTGCTCCCTGGCTACTGGTAGGTACCGAGGCAGGTAGGTGCCCTTGGTGCCTAGATGAAATGAACCGAGCTTCCTCCTCTGCGTTTGCCATAGAACCATCGAATCGACGGACAACCGCCATGCGTCGGACGTCCCAAGCAGCAAGAAAACCCACGCTTCCTGGACCACCTATGTTGAAGTATCTGCTTGTCAAGATCCGTCAGTCGTTCCTCCGGTGGCTTCGAGTTGGGGGTTAATGCGCTCCATTTGTCAGCAACAGGCTCAAGGTAGAGCCAATGAGATGCGTCAATCATTGGATCTTGTCCGCTAAATAGCCTGAGCCAAGACTGAGCTGCGCTGAGCAGAATTCTGTGGCTTGATTTATACAAATGAGGTCACTCACCGTAAAGGTTGGTAGGTAGATGGGATATCCTAACGGGAACGTATTCGGGACGGCGTCTGATCATACATCGGTATGCCGGGGTATCTCTAAGCCAGCCAAAGATGCGGTAAGCTTTGCAGCTTACTATACCTTACCCATCACAAAGCCGGCGTTGAGACTGCAATCCAACATCACCCAGCGTCCTCTCGCGGGGCTAACTATGATATGCACGTCACAACAACTGCAAGAGCCTCGAATCATCATGAGCGTTCAATAAATTGGTAAAGAAGTTAAGCCACGCCGTATCTTTATCAAACCCGAGTTCCAAACCACCCATCCACCAGTATCTCAATCCCCCAAGCAACGTCCCTTCGTGCCTGTCTCGAAAGCTGGCCATCAGATCACCACCGTCGAGTATTTCATCTGCCACCGTCGCACCGTCCTATGCCTGAAGCCTTTGGCCATCGCCGATTGACATAACACAGCTCCTCATAAAGCGTGCGTCTCACAACAACACATCCCTTGTCGCTCTCATCTGAAACAAAATGATAGGGCTGTACGATTAACCTTCAGTCTGAGCGCTGGAGCCTTTCCATTTCGTTGAAGGTCATTTGACTGGCGGTCATTGGCAAAGCTAATAGTCGAAGGTAAGAACCTGGAGGATAGGAGATGTTGTTTGGAGGATCAGAATCGAAAAGTCAAAGAGGAGCGATGTTTCAATGTCAGGAGAAAAATGTGATGGTTTAAAAGAAAAAGAGAGAGAGAGAGGGAGAGAGAGACGAAGACACGAGAGACGGCAGATGGGAGACAACATATCGACATGAGGGGCTATGTTGAACACAACTCACCTATCAAGAAAGTGCGAAGGCCACTTGCCTGCTCTTGACAGGACTATTTTGAACGAAAATCACGGGAAGTACTTGTCCATACACAGAGCTTGAGGGTCGCTGAGGGTCGACGCATTGCTAAAATAGATAGCTAGATGTACCACAGCCGCCCAGCGCTCCTGACTGTTATGAATATGCTCTGCACTTGCTAGACCCATACGTCAAGCTTAGCAGATGTAAATAATGAGCCAGTTGCTTTCTGCATGCTCAGCCAAAACAAGAATGACGAAGATCGGCTTTTTTACTAGAATCAAGTGCCCTGTGCTACTTTCAACGAGAATGCTGCCCAGAAAACCCACGCGCCCGTCTTTTCGTGAGTGACTGCCGAATATGACCTCAGAGGACTTCCGTGCATCATTTTGGATCTTGAAACGGAAGTTCTGTCCATTGGAGCTCTCCATGCCAAGTGTTCATCATCGGTCATCATAGAAAAGAACAGAAGTTACCAGTTGATATCCCGCGTAGCACTGAAGAGAAGCAGAGAGGAAGGAGGGACATGAGGTGAAAGCTCTTTACCTTTGAAGACCAGTAGCTACACGCGGACCCACTCTTCAGATGGTCGTTGCCTAGATGGCGCAAACTGATCTCCGCCCCCATCCATTAATGGACACACGCCAGTACAAGTAGATGGCTTGATGGCCTCAAGTCTTACATGGTACTTTACTGTACAATGATGCAGCCATCAAGTATCTCTGTTCCATTTCTGACCTGGCCTTTCCATTTGTGCTCCCGGTGTGTCAGCTTCTCATTGTTGCCATACTGAGCCTGGTTATATCGGATACCTCCTACCCCACCATCACAGCGGTGTGCCCTGCCGTTGTCAGGCACAGGGTTCGCGGCGCATGACAGGCCAAAAATCGGTTGTGGTCTTGCCTAACGCAGGGGCGTGCACCTGTCACGAGGTAAGTGTCATCAAGGTACATGTACATCGACAGGAAGCGACCAGAGGACCCATTACGATGGCGCCTGCTGACTCAATTGCCCACGAACGACAGGTGCATCGCCCTTGAAAGCACTACATAGTACAGTAGCTGGTCAACATCGATCACAAGAATCAAGAGCGCCTGTCCGCGCACACACGCCCTACACCAGCAGCGTCAGTATTCCAAAACCTTTGCCAAAGAAAGCACTGCTCCACCTCAAAGGGTGACAAAGTGGTAGGGGCGCACATTTGTCAGCCTCCACAGGGGGACAAATGGTCCTCCAGTCAGCATGGTGGACCCCGCTATGTTAGCCTCCCAACCAGTCAGCAGCTCCGACAACCCCCTCGACGACGAGCCACCTGCAGCCAACGCTGAACTTTGATACTCCGAGAGTCCGACTCCGAGTCCACCGTTAGGCCCATTTATCCACTCGAAATACTTGAGCGCATCTCATGGCAAGTCGTAAATAGATGGCGTCAAGTTCTTTGAGACCCCCATGAGACCCCATGGGCGGGTCATGCTGCACTACTACTTGAACTGGGATCGGAGTTTCATTGCCTAGCCTTATATTGAAAGTAAGGTAGGCAGATACACTGCGAGATCCCCGCCTTGGAGCCAGGACACCAAGATCGACTGCTACAGAGCCAGCAACTCAGAATACTTGAGACTTTCATGAGCACCGCGTCCCTTCTCATGCCGAATAGAATGTGCCGACAGGGTACATGTAGATGTTCCTTTCAAAGCCCACTGATACATGTACAAGGCCTGGGGCACCTGCCGCCTCCAACTATCCCGCATGGGTGCCACACTCCCTACGAGCTGACCAACAACTCCGCCAAAGTGCCCGGAGGGTTTTTGAGCGGCCGACCAATTGCACGAGGGAAGATAGGTTACATGTAGCCCGTGGACATGGATGCAACCAGCTCAAACGTCAAGTGTCATCATGGCTAGGCTCTGGGGAGCCAAAATACAGGACATGGATGGTTTGCCTCGCGGCGTGTTGCAGAACTCGTTATCAAAGCTGATGCCAGCCCTATGAGGAACGTGAACGTGTTATGTATCATGTGCCGGCCTTTCACGAGACAAGCTCAGCCAGCTGAGTTCGTTACTCAATGTTCAGCTACTGGGTGGTTCCATACGACCTGTCACTCTGAAGATCCGAGCATGCTACGTGGTCAAACTTCCAGGTGTTGATAGCGAATAGTTTCGTCTGGCGTCAGACGCTGCGTGACGAAACCTCCGCAATCTGACGACGTCGGCATCTACTACAGTCCTATTGTTAAAAGAAATAAAAAAAAAATAGGGGAAGAACATGTTGTGCAGGAAGACATGGTGACCTCGCTGGATTACTTCTACCCGTCAACGGAGACCCGAGGTCTGGGGCATATCGCTCAGCGTCCAGCAAGCTGGCACTAACAATTCCTCATGATAACAACAACGAAACCACTGACGATAACACACCCCGCCGACAAAATCGGTCAGCTTGAGTCCTCCAGCTAGAAAAAGACATGCGACAACCCGGAATTGAACCGAAATCTATTGCTTGGAAGGCAATAATGCTAACCATTACACCATTGACGCAGTCGGATATTGGCGCCCATGCGTCAGAGGATCCATCACGACGGGGCATGCGTGAACTTTGCTTCGGAACTCACTGCACTGTGGAGTCTGAACCTTTTTGTTATGCAGGTCTCATGATGCAAGTCAAGCGAGCGTTTGAGTTTATGTAGCTAGCTGCGAGGATCGAAGCGAGATGGCATCGCGCAGAGATGGAACACGGCGGCGCGATTGGAGGTGGTCGTCGAAGGTTATCGCCGAATGAAGTTTGGTTGGCAGGGAAGAACAACAGCATTGTTGGGGTCGCAACGGAAGACGTATGACCATGCCGAGATCGTGGTTTGACTACAATATCTCAGCGAAATGCCATTCATCTTCTATTCCATCCAGGACGCCCTTGATTTCGTAAACACAAGCAGCCGTGACCAGACAACACGATAATGAAAACCCACGTTCCCATGTGAGGACAGCGGGAGCCCGTGCACGCCATCCCCGCCGACCCAATCACCAAGTATTCCACCAGACCACACAACCACCTCATCTCATCTCATCGCAACCTCTCCTTCATGAAACCCACAGCCCGCCATGCTCCTCCCGCGCGCCACAAGACCTCACCCCAGCCTCGTGCCACGCAACGCCATCCGCGCATTCACAACACCACCAGCAGCCATGGCGGCCCAACCGCCGACCTTCTCCCAGGGCGCCGACCCGTCGGCCCTCACGCCCCTCCTCGCGCCCCTCCTCGCGCCGGGCCGCTGGTCCCTCACCAACGAGGGCGGGGGCCTCGAGCGCCCCTTTCGATTCACGACGTTCGCCAAGACGTGGGACTTTATGACGGCCGTGAGCCTGCAGTGCAAGTTCAAGAATCACCACCCCGAGTGGTCCAACGTGATTCCTGCCCGCGCCAGACGGGCCGCTCGTTCTTGCGAGCTGGCATGCGATGGGGGGGGGGGGAAAGGGGGGGAGCCTCTGCTGGACAGATGAAAGCAGCTGACAGCCTCAGGTGTACAACACGACCTTTATTCGCTGGACGACGCACGAGCCAAAGGGCCTCTCGGCCAAGGATGTCACGCTCGCGACGCTCTGCGACGAGTTGGCCAGGGACTTTGGCGAGGTTGTCGAGGACGCCTCGGCCGCGAAGGAGACGCAGAGCTGTGCTCTGGGCGGGCTGGCTGACGCGGCCGTCGCGGCGGGGGGCGACTGCTGTGTGCCGAAGAAATAATTCGACATGCTCTACGATCATGGTGCACATCTAGATAGACCTCGGGCGCCGCCGGGAGAGGCATCTTCAGGTCCCACGAACGAAAGAGGGTGTTTGGACGTTGTATTAATAGTGTAATTAATCACCTTATGTAAATGATGGGCAGCCCCCTACTTTATGTACAACACGGAAAGAACCTGGCGAAAAGGAAAAGACTCGCCCACTGCCCCTTGTCCCTTTTCGCAACCCCTCAAACCGTGCCCCGACCTCTGGGAAAACATGAAAAACGCCGTCCCGATGAGTTTTCTAAACAAGTACGCATGGCAAGATGCTGTCATCACTGCCTTGCGGCGTTCATTTGGGAAAAGGAATGGCTCATCTGAACCCCCCTCCCAATTTCCCTTGGATCCAAGCCATTTTATCTGTCGCCTGTGGCTGCTCGAGTGAAGAGCAAAAGGGCAGAAAAAATGGAGCAGTTTACTGCTGCTTCGCGGCCTTCATGGCCTTGACCTTCCTCTCGCGGCGGCGCTTCATGGCCTCGGGGCTGGCCTCGGTGTCGAGGCAGAAGTCCCACCAGCGGAAGCTCGAGGCGTAGTTGCCGATGAACTTCTCGTGGTGCATGTCGTGGTGATCGGCGCCGGCCCAGAAGGGGAGGAAGTGACGCAGGGACCAGGGGAAGTCGTAGCCGCTGTGGGCGTCGATGGCCTGGAACAGGCGCAGGATGATCCAGACGTACATGGTCAGGAGGTGGAGGTCGCCGGTGATGAAGACCCAGATGATGGGGGAGCCGACAATGCCCATGCCGAGGATCATGACCTCAATCGGGGAGGCGTACTCAGCGGCGAGACCGAAGGGGGCCGAGTAGTAGTGGTGGACCTTGTGGATGGCCTTGTAGAGGGGACCGTAGTGCAGGGCGCGGTGCATCCAGTAGTGCCACGAGTCCTCCATGACGAAGAAGACGGCGATCTGCATGGCCATCTTCCAGGCGGGCGGGAAGGGGACGCCAAACTCCATACCGCAGTAGGTAGCGAGAGGGTGGAACAGCCAGATCTGGGGAAGCTCGACGGTGAAGTGCGACAGGAGGACGACGTAGGTGCACTGCCACTGCTCCTTGAGGGTGGGCATCTTCTCCTCCTGAATCTTGTACTTGTGGAAGTAAGGAATGAAGTCGAGGAGGATCCAGGGGATGCAACGGCCAAAGTAGACGGCCTCGTGCATGACGAAGCTCATGATGCCGGTGGCGAGAATGTCGTTCTGCATCCAGATGTACCAGGCCTGGATACTGTGTTAGTCTGCGATCCTCGTTCGACATCGCGGGCGCGTCGCGCGCAGCCGACGGCGTGGGAGGGGCAACATACGGCCCAGAGGCGCTCGGCGGTGTTGAGCTGGACATTGTACTTGGAGACCTCATCGTAGACACCAAAGTAATCGGTGGTCTGGTTCAGACCAGCCATGACGACGGTCGAATTGCTGTTGTGAGAGAGGGCGCGTTAGCAAGGAGTGGCGACTTGGCGAAGAAAAGGGGGCGCGATCGAGGGGCTCGACGTACGCGAAATCCATCTTGGTTGATGCCCTCTCTTGACTCGGCAAGAGATTGTGTAAGGAAGGGAAAGGGCAAAAAATTCCGCGGTGATGAGGTGCTAAAGGAAAGAATGCGCCTCCAGTCCTCAATGGCTACGAAGTGGGATGTCGAGTCGAGTCGAAGATGGGCGATGGCAAGACGAGGAAAAAGTCTATGATAAAGGAGCGACCGGTATGAACGATAAAGGGTCTCGGGCTTGTTGAGGTTTTATCAATTTCGCTTGCTGCAGATAGGTATCGCCCCCTTTGCCCATTCATCTTGGGCCCCCCCCTGTTGGCCTGTTGGCCTGTTGGGTCGATGGGGCAGTAAATTGGGCCAATGACGAGACGACCTGATCATGAGCCCACGGTCAAGATGGACCTTCCGTCTTCCGAGCCGCTGGAATCCGATGCGGTCTCTGCCCATCAGTGGGACTCTGTGGCTGAAGCGCGGTCTTGGGTGCTGTGTGACAGGCCCGAAGGGAAGTCAAAAGGACCCAAAACACATGCCAAATGAGAGCCATCTGGGACCTGATTGTTTTGCATGTGGCGGATCTGGTGTGGCTGACCACCCACCCCAATTCGTATTCGTTTTTGACAAGCGCATGCACACAACACGCACACACGCACACACGCACACACGCACACACACACACGCAAGACGGGAAGTCCATGCCCGGGACCACACCACCCACCATGCCAGCGCAAGATTGCCGAATGGGAAGGATCAGCCCACCTGCCACTGCTGCCACTGGCTGTCCCCCCTCTGGCCTTCTGGGGATCCAGAAGACCCCGGTACCTCTTTGGGATGTCGTGTCATTGCCTCGCCACTACTTGTTGATGCCGACTGACCCTTTCATCGACATGGCGTGGTGCAGCTTTTGTTTGATGTCCTGAATGGAGACTGTCAGCGGGATGGCTAGTTGCCGATGCTACGATTTTGCTCCTTCTTTGGTCAAAGGCCTGTCCGCCGATTTGATTTCCCTCGCCTGACATTGGGCACCTAGGGATAGGTAGGCAGGCAAGGGATTGGACAGACCCCGTTCGGTGTCTGTTGCTCTGTCGGCACAGGGCTGAATCAGGCGATTTGACGGTGAGCACCGAACGCCGGCCAATGGTAGGCAAATACCGCCTGGGAGGTGGACTGCATATATTCACAAGGGTTTCTCATTCCTCCACGCACACATACACGCTGATTGAATTATACACCTTCAGACAAGATTTAAATGACCTGAGGCTAATTGCAACTGGAACGATGCTGCAGGGCCCGAAGGACATACAGTAGTTACAAGTACGTACCTAGTGCCTGATAGGGCGACGTTAGTCAGCACCCGCTTGCGGTCACCACCACAACGACCGTCACACCAATGACGATGGAGGCTCATGACGTTGCCCCGTCGTAACCCACCAGGGCCAGAACTGATAGCTCAGCTCGCTTTCTGTTTCGTCCACTGCACCTGCTGAAGCTCACATTCTCCATGTTTGCAAACCTCCATCATCCCAACCCTTTGCCAACAGTTCAGCCTCGTGGAGGCATCGTCCCACGTGACAGCCATCATTCCGCCAAACCTCCGGCTCGGCACGCAATAGTCCAACGTCATTCATGCCTGGGCGTAGTATGCTTCACTAATCAGACTCTTTGACACACCTCCAGGCTGCTCGGCTCCTGGTCGCCATCATGTCAATCTTTGCTGAGTCAGTCCCACCCTTCACACACTCGCTCACCACTTCTTTCCTCACCTGCATCAAATATTCTGGGACCATGTTGATTGACATGGTTTGTAAACAGCCGCGTGCGACGTCTTGACGCCGATTTGGACCGCATCTCCTTGGGGTTTGATCGGCCACAACGCCCAAGACGTTCATCAACGTCCATATATCAAGACCGAGCCTCCAGCGCGCATGACCATGACCGTGATGATCACGATGAATCAGAGCGAAGCAGTCTGTCAGAAGTCCTCGAAGCCTCAGAGGACGGCTCCGTCTTTGCCCATGCCGCCATAGACGCCCTGTCAAGACCTCGAGCGGTCAACCTCCTTGAGGTTGTCAAGGCTCTCTCATCCACATCCTCCTCACACCCCCAGCTATCTTCATCAAGAATCAGGTTTCTTCTTGAGCAGTCCGGAATCGCCGACCCGGAAATCCAGTCGGAAGCCTTTGAGCAGTATGACGAGTCCGAGAGGAGGCACATGTCCAATATTGAATGGCTCATCATCAGCAAAGCAACCGTGCAGACCTGCGGCCTCATCCAGGCGACGCTTTT